ATCACAAAATTGCATGGGTTAAATTTTTGTGTTCCCTCCTGTTAATTTTGTGTTCCCAGTACGTTCCCTCCTGTTCCTTGGGAATGAGTGAGAGCGTGCATTTAGGGAGGGTGTGCATTTAGGGAATTAAAGCATTTTATTGGCTGCACGTGACTCACGTGATACAAATCAAAAAATTTTAAATTCGTTATTTATTATTTATTATTATTATTTATTATTTATCGTTAGAAGAAAGAAATTTTTTTTTCAAGACATGAATCTATCTATTATAGTTTGTTTCATTGTAAAGTAATAACTGTTAGTTAATAACAGACAATTATTTTATTTAATTAATTATCATTACCATTTGAAACCTTTAAAGAGTATTATAAAGAAACAATTTAATATTTGTTGGATAGAAGATATAAAATAAAATATGGCGAATGAGCAGTTTCAGATATCTTGTAAAGGAAATTAAAAAAGATCAAATAAGAATACAACAAATATATTCTTGTAAAAAAGATCAAATAAAAATATAACAAATTTTATTCTTGCAAAAAAAGATCAATAAATATATTGTAAAAAAGAAAAGGATCGATGATAAATGTACTCTTGTAAAAAGATCAAACAATGAATGTATTGTAGAAAAAGGAAAAAAATTAATGTATTGTATAAAAATACAAACTTGAACTTTTTGAAAAAAATTCATTATAACATGTTGCACAATTTTCATTGCAAATATCACGTGAAGTCACAGGAGTGCATTTAGGGAGGGTGGTTTTATATAGTTGGGAATGAAAAAAGAACCGTGCAATGCATGTATGGAGGGGTGCACTTATCTCTTAAATCCCAAGCTCGGGAATGAGTGTGAGCGTGCATTTAGAGAGGGCGTGCATTTATGGGGTGCATATGGGGGTTGACTGTAATATGTTTTATCATTATTGGTAGCGCAAATAATGAATAGATTATAATATATTAAAACGTTATTATTATTTTATTAATTATATAATTATATATGTGAAAAAAAAATTATAATATCAAAAAACTCAAAGAAAAAGGTATTATTAAACATATTGGCGGTAATGGTCACTGTTCTAAGGTTATACAAACAGTTTCACGGTCAATCGGGCAATTAGTTCACCATAACTCTGCAATTACAACACGCCAACTTGCAGTTCGAATTCAAGATACACATAATATATCTATTTCACACACTAATATCTGGCGACACATGGCAAAAAAAGGGTATAATAGTGCCATACCACTTTCCACCCCAATGCTTACCATTAGTCATATTGATGCTCGAAAAACATGGGCACAAACTCATTTGAATGATGACTGGGATTATACCATTTTTACAGATGAGACTGCCTTCGATTTATTTCACAATAAAATTTCAAGATGGTATAAAAATGGAGAAAGACCAGTCAGAAGATTACCAAAATCATGACAAAAGGTAATGGCTTGGGGTGGAATTTCATTGAATGGCAAAACCCCCTTGTTTTGCTTTACAGAAATAATGGATGGTCCTTTTTACGTGAATATTTTGCAAAACCAGCTTCTTCCTGCTGCTCAACAGCTGTATGGTAGAAACTGGCATTTGCAGCAAGATAATGATCCTAAGCACACTTTGCGTGTTGCAAAAAACTTTTTATCTCAAAATAATATTCATGTTTTAGACTGGCCATCCAACAGTCCCGATCTGAATCCCATTGAAAATATGTGGCAGATTGTAAAAAATAATGTAGAAAGAAGAATGCCAGGAAATACTAGTGAGTTGAAACAATTTATGGTTGAAGAATGGGATAAAATCCCCCATGAAACAGTACAAAATTTAATTAAATCTATGAAAAATCGTTGTGAATTAATATTACAAAAAAATGGGGATAGAATTTTGTATTAATTTTTTTATATTTAATAAAGTAAATAATGAACTTTCAAATGAATCTATTTTTATTTATTTTCAATGTGTGCTTGTTGAGATTTACGGTTTTATTTATGCGCAATTTTTTTTGCAAAACACTGTAAATGGGATGGCCGTCCTCATATTTTTTCATAACACCAACATAGAATTTAACGTTATTTTTATTTTTTTATTTTTATTTAATTAATGATTAGATTTGTTACGCAAATAATTATTTACATATACGGAAGGAAATTATTCATGAATTTTAATTTTAATAAAAAAAGTCCAATTCATTTGAGAATTAAAATGTGTTTCTATTGCTTCGCTAAAAAATTTGAATTAACAACCTGAACCAATCAATTGCTTACTAAATTAAAGTTTTAACTTTATTACACCAAAAAAATTAAACACAATTTCATGTGAGCATTATCTAACTTGGATATGATTTATTACACTCAAAATAATCATACGTGCTATGATACAACCAAATGAACTAACTCTTTCTAAATAAACATATTGTAATAAAAAATACATTTATGTTTATTACTTCTTATTTAGTTAGTGTTAACGCTATAATTCATTTCAACCAATCAGATTTGACTTTTTCATAAATAAAGAAATCTGATTGGTCCTTAAAAACTTAAATTTAAATTTTCTATATATACCATTTTAATATAAATTAAAATAATGAGAAAAAACACTACAAATTACCTTTAACAAATTACCTTTAATGTAAAGAAAGAAATTTAATTTTGACAATTTTTAATTAGCATTTAATTTAATCAATAATCGAATTGATTGTTACACACTAAATATTACTTTGATATCAACAGAAGCCCTGCATCAAGACAACAATTTCCTCTGCAAAATGCCTTCACTCTTACTGTGCACAAAACCCAGGGATTAACATTACCTCATTCAACTGTCAGCATTGATGAAAATATGTTCGCACCTGTCAAGTATATGTAGCCATGAGCAGAGTGCCTTCTTGGGATTCACTTGGAATCTTAGATTTTGACTTTTCTAATATAAAAACTGATCAATCTGTAATTCAGGAGTATGCAAGATTGAAAAACGTAAACCAAAGAGGTCTTGGCCAATTAATTAATTGGGGCATGCTACAACAAAACCAGACAAAGTGAACATTGGTATTACCAAGAATTTCAGGGATCAATAGTGTTTGTTTAACATCACAATT